ATCGCCAAAATATCATCTCTTTCCTTTGTTTTGGTCTCAAGAGAAGCATTGATTGGCGCTTTCATATCATTTGCTGCGTTGGGTCTATCTCGGTGACAGACCGAGACTGCCGTTTTCTTCCCCGATCAAAACAATGTTGTCTTCTACTGTGATCAAAACAATGTTGTGCCCCCCCTATCGGATAATCCACGAATTGCATTTTATTTAAAATATTCATTCTGTGTCTTTAATGCATTGTTTTTTTTTTTCACTTTTAAATCATCCCGCGGGCCGGATCAAACCTCCTTGGGGGACCGGTTCCGGCCCGCGGGCCGTATGTTTGACACCACTGGTCTAGATAGAATGGGCTGCTACTGAATGAGTTGAAAAAAACAAAAACAAAAAAAAAAACACGAAATCGATTGACCGAAGGAAACGAAAAAGCACTCGGTGTGCGCGTGTGACAAAATGGCCGCCTTTTCGCCACGGCTTTCGCTTCGCGCAATTCAGTTTGGGGGCGTCGCCTTTTGCAAGCGCGGGGCGGCGCAACAACGTCAAGCGGTTTGGAGGCCCCGCTCAACTTTTTCCACGCGGTCCTTTCAAGAGAGCCAAAAGTACGAGGGGGGGGGGGGCAGCGTTGGCCGCAATGATGTCATACTTACAGTGCGAGCACATGTCCAGAGCGTAACTGGCCTCGTTTCCCTGGAAAACAAAAAAAACGATAACATTCACAGTCTTTCAGGCCTCCTCCATCTTATCCTTGAATCACCGTTTGTTGCCCCGGGGGACGGAAGCGCATCCCCCGCGCTGAGCACAACATGGCTGCCAACAGAGGAGCTAGTTGATTCAAAGCACGGCAATTCGGATTCAATTCTGTTTAGTTTTTGAGGAAACAAGTCCATGCGGGAAGGGACCTGGATTGGCTTCGGGCAGAATCCAGAAAAGAAAAACATGCAGCAAAAACTGGTGTGGAATGCAACGAACGGACGGAGTAGACGTGGTTACGGGGTCACATATTTAGGAAGCGATTTCATTTGATTTGCCGGCGCCAAATATTCATCGTCCGTCAGTGACAGCTTTGCGAGTTGTCAAGTCGCGTCCATTTCACAGCGTTTTTTGTCTTTTCGTCCAGCTTTTATTTTGGTAGCGCTTTCCCCCGCCGACCCGGCCCACTTCCGCTCGCCGTAGGCTAGGCGGCTAAAGCTCTTAGCATCGACGAGAGCCCAGCGAATGGCGATTCAAAAGGCGCGCATCGAACGCCGCCAAGTGCGTCGCAATGTTCGGGTCGGCAAAGCGCGGCCCCCTAATAACATAACGCAAGCCATAAAAATCATCCCAGGCAGGCGTTCTGGCGGGCCGTCGCGTCGTCACGAGCGCCAAACGTCGAAGGCCCCACATCGATGCGATTCGGACGGCGAGCGGACGGCGGCTAACGTTAGCCCGCAACCGTCGCCAGGCTCCCGCCCACCAAAACGAGGCGGAGGCGGAGGCGTCTTCGAGAACTTACCATGTTGCCTGTCGAGCGGAGAGTTTTGGCTGCGAGGGCCGACGGTCGGGGTGCTCGTTGCTGAACGTGCTCGCGCGTCGAAGAGACAGCCGAGCCGGCGGCGCTAACGGAGGACTGGCGAGAGAGCGACCGGCAGCCGACGGGAGGAACCAGCGGCAGGGTGGGGGCGGGGCCTCGGCGCTCCGGGAGCCTCGATTCGGCGGCGGGAGGGACGGAGGCCTCGGTGTTCAAAATGTTTACAAAGTGAGCGTGACGTCATAAGACGGCGCATCAACGAAACGGCCAAAGAAATAGTTCCAAAAAAAAAAAAAAAAAAAAGGCGTTTGGTAGCCCTGCGGGCGGAGTCAAAGCTTTTAGCTCCACCCCACTGTGAGCCACGCCTCCAACTGCGCTCAGCACCCCCGACCTGCTCGACACGACTGAAAAAAAATGAAGTCGTCCCTTATTTGTCGCGGGTTTTATGTTCCGTATGTTTTCGGGGGGTGAATTTCTGCCAAGTAGAGGCTTTTAAAAAAATTCTTTTAAAATAATTTACGCCATGACAACCCGAACCCACACACACACACATGCGCACGCAGTTTCCACCCTTCCACACACTTGTTCCACATCATGAATTTACCCTTGAAAACGCAAAACAAAGAATAAACCCCAGCGCTGTCAATTCTTGTATTTCCAGCGAGTGTCCATTTTGGAGATGGAGGAGGAGGAGGAGGAGAAGAAGAAGAATCACCCAACGGCGAGGTACGTAGCATGCCAACATCCGCGTTTCATTCCCGGACAGAAGAGCCGAACGAGTGAGCGGGCGCTTTTATTCTGCTGCCTCCTTTTTGTTTTTTTGTTGTTTTAATCAAGGAAGGAAAACAACATGAAAACCAAACAAAGGGCATTCCCAACAACAACAACAACAACAACAACAACAACGGGAAAGGATGTCGGGGAGCCGCGAGCCCTCCGCCGGCGCCGTCCGTCCGTCCGACCGCCGCTGGCGACGAATGGCGGGAGAAGACGAAGAATGCGGGCGCTCAGTTGAAGGCCTCCTTGTTGATCCACATGAGGGTGCGCGTCTCGTTGGGTTTGCACTCGTACTCGATGCTGCTGAATTTGTTCCCAAAGTGGCAGTGCTCGCGCTTGTAGTAGTTGTAGTACTTGGCCTGCCACACGATCTCGAAGGTGCCTGCGCGCTCAAACTGCACAACAAACAAACAAACAAAAAAAATGTATACGGCACACGCGATTGCAATCTCAGGGGGGCGGGGCTGACCTGTATGCTGACTTGCACGGGCTGCCGGTCGCCGCTCTTGGTGTGCGGGACGCCCTCGGTGTCGTAGCGTCCGTGATAGACGACGCGATCGGCGTCTCGCGACTGCTCCTCCAGAGGGAACACCACGCCGCCGATGTTCATGCTCCTAACGCGCACACACCCACGCACGCACAAGTTCCCGAATGAACGTTGTGAATTCGGGAACAGGAAGGAGGCGGAAGCATTTTGGCCCACGCCTCGTTTGGGAACGCAAAACGGCCAAGCGTGGAACGCGTCGTGACGCAAACCGGTGTGTTGCACGTGTGCCTTTGAGGGGCGGGGTCTAGCGCCGTGATTCTCCGGATCGGTTTTCGACCGTCGTCCTGTTCCAGAAGGCCGTTCGATAAACCGAAAGCACGCTCTTTTGAGAAAAAAAAAAATAATAATAATCTTGATCGAACACGTCAGCTCACAAATGAAACGCGTCACTTCCTCGTGTAAGGAAGGCGAGAGGAGTCGAGCGGCGCATTCACGTGTGCTCAAGTTTGGTCGAGAACCGATTTTCCCCTCGTAATCCGAGGCACAAAAAAAAAAAACAAAAAAACAAAAAACGATTTTTGGTCATAAAGCGATTTGGCCGAGAACGGAGACGTTCCAAAACCGAGGTTTGACTGTAGTTCTGTTTGATATGGTGATGAAAAAGCGGGGGGTGGGGGGGCATTCCGGCGTCAGGTGGATACGGAGCGCGTTTCGATAGGCGGCGCATTGCAGTCGTTCGTCTCGCTTTCCTTACGTGGCCTCGACGGCGCCGGGCTTGACGAGCACTTGGATTTTGTACTTGGAGCCCGTGAGCAGCTTGACGGTTCGGGTTTGCCCGAAGCGGCTTCCGTCCACCTTGAAAAAAACGTCGCCGTCGTTGGGTTGGATCCACAACGAGATGGAGATGTGAACCAGCGCC